TATATATATATATATATATATATATATATATATATATAAGTGGGTTATCACTTATCATTACTATATTTAGGTAACCTATGTATGCCCTACACCATGGTTTCAGTATAATCAATAAAATATAGCTTAGCTTAACTACAACTACGAACTACCTATTACTCAATCACACTGTACCATTTTTTTATTATTTTAATTTACGAAAACCATATGTATTTTGTAGAAGAATTTCTCGTGTTTCGTTCAAAGTTATATAAATAAGATTACATGTTTGATATTGATAGTGTTTGTGGGCAGATTTTCGTTATCTTACTTTTATTAGGAACTATTCACATTAAGAAAAGGATGGACATCATAAGATATAAAAGGGACCAAAATATAATATGCGGTGATGAGGTGATCCACGTGGCTGCATGAAACATGGGACGGGGATGGAGACCAAGTTCCCATTGGTCCAAAATCTATCCACGAGAGCCTAAGATTTCTTTTATAGATTTCATAGTCCTACTTGGCTTTGTATGAGAGCTCCCTCGGATTTTCCCACACTTCACATATAAGATCACCAAGTGAATGTGTATATGCAAAGAAAACTCCAAACCAGACTCGGTTTAAGGTCAAGGAGAGATGGCAGCTGTAACATCTGGTGCTGTGTTAAATGGGTTTGGATCTCACTTCTTATGTGGAGGAAAGAGGAGTCAGGACCTCCTTGCTGCTAGCATTGGTGGCAAAGTTGGTGGTGCTGTTAGTCCTAAAAGAGTTATTGTGGCAGTTGCTGCTGCACCAAAGAAGTCATGGATCCCTGCTGTAAAAGGTGGTGGGAATTTCACTGATCCAGAATGGCTTGATGGCTCGTGAGTCCACCCATCTTTCTACTCAATTTCTCTTTTATTTCTTATATTATTTGTTTGAAATTCAATTATGAGTGGTTAGTCTCATGTTGATCAAGAAATGGCTCAATGAAGTATATATCAGAGACAAGACTTATATACCTAATGGCTTAAGATTTCGGATAATGATGTGTTTTTCTATTAGCCCATTAACCTTTAAATGCGCCCCGCAATAGTCTCTACTCTGTAGGAGTTTTCACGTCAACTAGTAGTATACAAGTGGGTGGAAATTCTCATTTTACAAGCTGAATTTGTAAGGTTGAATTGGAGGCTAATTCTACTTTCTATTTGATGGACTCATTTCACGTTCAATTTTGCAATTGCAGGCTACCAGGTGACTATGGCTTTGACCCTCTAGGACTAGGAAAGGACCCAGCATTCCTGAAATGGTATAGAGAAGCTGAACTCATTCATGGGAGGTGGGCAATGGCTGCAGTTGTGGGCATATTTATTGGTCAGGCCTGGAGTGGAGTTCCATGGTTTGAGGCTGGTGCTGATCCTAATGCACTTGCTCCTTTCTCCTTTGGTTCTCTTCTGGGCACCCAGTTGCTCCTAATGGGATGGGTTGAGAGCAAGAGGTGGGTGGATTTCTTCAACCCAGATTCTCAGTCAGTGGAATGGGCCACCCCATGGTCAAGAACTGCTGAGAACTTTGTTAACTCTACTGGCGATCAAGGCTACCCTGGGGGCAAATTCTTTGATCCTCTGGGATTTGCGGGCACAATCAGGGATGGTGTTTACATTCCAGATACAGAGAAGTTGGAGAGATTGAAATTGGCTGAGATTAAGCATGCTAGGATTGCAATGCTGGCTATGCTGATTTTCTACTTCGAGGCTGGACAAGGGAAGACACCTCTTGGTGCTCTTGGTTTGTGAACAAAATAATGTACTTAGTTGAATTGAGAGGCTAGGGAGACAATTTGAATCATTGTCCTGTAGAGCCAGATTTCTCCCTTGAAAATTTTTCAAATTTTATGCTCTAAACTTTGGATGCATTCACCTTGTATCTGCATTATATATTTATAATATTGACACCTCATATGTATACTTCCATCCATATTCATTTCCAAACCAGATGGAGTGAAATAGTTCAAAATTGCAAGTTGGTCATTATATTTGTCATACTCATTTGCAAGGCAGAAAAACACACACATGCAAAGCCGAAGATAGCTTGGACTGCCATAAAAAATAAGTACACGAAGTCAAATGGTGATGGTGTTCATCCATAAAAAAAATAATAATAAATAAATAAAATCCAGGGCTAAACTAACAGAATCATGAAAGAAACGCAGCAGAATCAGCTCTCTCTTTTTTTGGTGGAGGGGTTTGTCTTGATTATCGCTCACAGTAGCCATCAAAAACTCACCCTCACACACAACTTCACCTCCAACATATGCCTTCCCTTCCATCTTTGCTATTCCAAATCGCTTTTGCAGTTTGATAAGTGTCATTCTCATAACCAACGTATCTCCTGCAATCACAGGCTTCCTAAATCGCACTTTGTCTATTCCAGCAAAGAAGAAATTCTGACGAGAACCTCCAACTTCAGGTTGCAACATAACCAATCGACCGACTTGTGCCATTGCCTGCATCAAAGACCTCTCATATTCATCACCACTTACAAAGATAATTCAACAGAACCTTTAAAAAATTACAGACATCTGTTGTCAATCTCAACTCAAAAGCTCTTTCATGAGTTGGATCTTATGCAGCAGAAGTGAATACAAATGTGCCAAGAAGCCTAACGAGAAAATGAAGGTAACATAGTTCTCTGATCCAATCAAGATAAAGTTGCAAATTTAGCTCTAGAGACCGGACAGATATCGCAATTGGAATCTTGCCGATGTTTTTCTTACATTAAAACTGGCACATGCTAAACAAAACCTAGGCTATAGAGACCTAGGCGCACGTGCCCCACTTATTTCATGCCTATGAAATGCAAGCTATAAATAAAATACAGAGGAAACATGAGGCAACCAGCAAGAAATTCACCAATATTATTATCATATTCATAATCTCTCCTTCCCTAAATTTTTCATTTGATATTTAAATAGTAACACCATTCAATTTATGATATTTAAACTTTAAAATTTGTAGGAACTTAAGTAAATGTGACGATCTACAATCTTGAATATTCTATTTTTTCCCCTGGTTTCTATGCACTTTTTTAAAAGTCTAAGAATGTCATAGAAGAGTCCATCTTGCAAAAATTCACAAATAGCTTGCTATTGCTCCAAAATTTCAATATAAGAAAAACACCAACATTTCTACAATTTAAGAGATCTTTCCTGGAAACCAACTGATGTAGATTGAGTTCTTATAGTTTCAAATGAACTCAATCTACATCAAGCAGTAGATACTATATTTGATTAAAGAAGAAACAGTTTATAAGCATATAATTTACACTAACATAATCAAATATTTGCATGCAAGAAGACAAGCTCCATGACAGAATGGTTCAGCTTAGTGTTTACCTCAACCATGAGAACACCAGGCATGATTGGTCTTTCTGGAAAATGTCCAGGAAAGAAGTTGTCATTTATTGTTACATTCTTTATGGCCACTGCAGAAACTCCAGGATTGAATTCAATCACTCTATCCACTAGAAGAAATGGAAACCTTAATGACACCCCACCCCACCAAAAGAACAAAGAAATTGGATTTAGAAAATAAAAATAAAAATAAAAAAATAAAAGCACGGTGAAAAAAAAAAAAAGTTCACCTGTGGGGAAGAATGTCAAGAATCTGATTGATGTCCAATGATGTTGAAAACGCATGGTACCCTGCATGCAACAACGTCAAAACCAAAATAACACGTGCATGAAAAAAATGGAAGGTGAACAGAATCCAAAAATCACAAGAGGAAAACAAAAATGCATACTTAATTCAATTGGGGTGTTTTGTGTTGGAGCATTGGCTGCATCCAGAGAGCAAAACGTTGTGAACCGTGTTGCGGTTTTCCTCAAGTGGTTAGGTAGAGGCTGAGATCTGGAGGTGGGAAATCCGAGAGATGAAAATTTGGGTTGATTGGAATGAGATACTGTGAGAGGGGGAAATGAAGGTGTTGGAGAGAGCAGAGAGTGACATTGTTGAACTGTGTTAAAATGCAGTTTGTGTTTTGTATTCTATGGATGCATTTATTACTACGTAAGATGTTAGATGGCGAAAGTAACATGCAAATGCAACCGATGATGGTGTTTTACACTTTTACGTGTTTGGACGTTGTTTGCTCAACTACAAAAAAATTATAAATCAAGAGTTTATAGTTTATAACTTTTTTACACGTAAAAGATTTATTTCTTTCAGTAAAATTTTCTCAAAATATATATTTTAGATAATATACTTAAAGAAGTTAATTGTTTATCTATTATGTTAAACTTTATTGATAGACAGTATAACACTTTATTATCATTATTATAGTTATAATACAAACATATTACGGTAAATCATTATAAAATTATGATAATAAATTTAAAAAATCTTTATTACAGAAAAAATATTTCATAAGATTTGATTAATTCATTATATTATTATATAAAATTATAATTTATTAAGATTTAATTTGTGTAATTAAATATATTGGTGTTTTTAGAATTAAAGAAATGATAAAATTTAGGGGAAAAATTGAATATGATGCTGACATTTTACATCAGTTTTTGTGACGAAAAAACTTCTTTTATAATATACTAGTTTAAAAATAAACACTCCGAGACTATGTATATTTTGTTTTTAAAAAAAATAAAATAAATGAAAAAATGCTTAAAATTAAATATGTGTGAATGATTAATAATTAGGGTTTGGATGATGGATTTAGATGAGTTTAGTCAGTATTTGAAGTAAAATGTTTTGTTTGTGTTTTAATATGAAAATGCATTAAAAATAACCTAGTTGTTTATTTAAAGATAGAGCATTCTTTGTCCTACAATAGAAATTTTATATTAAACTATTATGACTTTTTGGCCTAAAATCATAGGATTTTGTAAAAATTTTGTCGTTATTAATAACGTATTTTAGTACTTAATCATAATCATTATTCATTATTTTTGATGTACAATATAAGTTCTTAGTAAAAAAATAATAAGTTATTCTAAGTACAAAAGTTAAGTTAGTTATAAAAAATAATTTTGTACAAAAAAATTTTCATTAACTTTGATGTGCAATATAAGTTCTTAGTAAAAAAATAATAAGTTATTCTAAGTACAAAAGTTAAGTTAGTTATAAAAATAATTTTATACAAAAAAATTTCTAGATAACACAAATCAATTATAGGTCGGGATAGTCAGGTTTGGATGAAAATTTTATAAATAATTTGAAATTTAATTATTTGTAAATTTTTTTAAAAATGTAGAATTTTGAGTCCTCTAAAGAAAAAAAGACTTTGAAATTCTTTACTTTTTGTCTCTACCTCTCACTTCTCTCTTTCAAAGTTCACATAAAAAATATTAATAGTTTTTTTAATTATTAAATATCCGATTTTTTAAATTATTAAATATTTAAAAATATTTTTTAAAAAATTATTAAGTATTTAAAAATTGGCTAATATTTAATTCTTAAATTTAATCTCAAAATTCAATATATATATTTGCTTAAAATCAATTTTATCTATAGCAAAAATCAAGTTGCCTTATTTAAATTACAAAATAAAAAATTTAAAATTTGAATTAACTTATTCAAGTGAAATAATTAAAGAATGATGAAAATCGAGTGTGTTTGAATGAAAAAATTTAAATGGAATAATTTTTTTTAAAGAATTTTAAAAGCCTTAAGGTAAAATGTCTTGTTTAGGTGAAAACTTTTCAAAGATTTGAAATTCAAACATTTATGAAATTTCTCAAAATAATAAATTTCAAATTCTCTAAAAAAAAGTAAGATTTTGAAATTCTTCATAATTTTTCTTTCTTATCTCACCTATATACCTTTTATCTCTTATATTTTCTTTTGTCTATCTTTCTTCCATCTCTTATGCTCTATTTTCTCTCTCTTCTCTTTCTTTCCTTTTTTTTTTTCTCTTCTAATTTTTTCTTAATTATTAAATATTCAAAATATAAAAAATAATTATTAATATTTATTTTTATAAAATTTAATCTTAAAATCTCAATTTATATATATATATAATCAATTTTAATCATGGTAGAAATCAAATTATCATGTTCAAACTAAGAATTTAAAATTAAAAGAATTTGAATTGACTTATTAAAACAAAAATGATGAAAATTAAAATCAAAGCAATTCAAATTCTAAAAATTCTACTTTTCTTTAATTTATAAAAATATGTATCCGATGTATATTATATATGACTAAAATTTATTATAAATTATATACATAAATTATGTTTGAACATATAAATTATATTAAAACTAATTTGTATAAAAACATATTTTAAAATATATAAATCATATTTTAGATATATGATATTTAATATATATTATAACTAAAAAATTATTTATTGATAATTTATTTTAAAAATATTATAATTTAATACATAAGTAATGATGATAAATAAAATTAAATTACCTAAAAGGTTAAAAAATTTCTAAAAACTTTTTTATTAAATAAAAGTCTCTATAAATACTATCGTACAAGATAATCATTCATATTTAATATATAAATATTAATTTAGAGAATAAAAAGATTTAAAAATAAGTTTGTAAAGAAGTAGAAAATAAAAATAAAAATTAAATAAAAAAGTATGAAAGATAAAGAGTATTTTGAAAGTTGACACAAAATAATTAATAGAATATGTATATTAAAAAGAGGTATCACCATTATTAATAGGATAGATAATAGATAACAAAATAATAATATAATAGTAGATAGAAAATTTCTTATCTAAGATAAGTTCTTTATTTTTCTATAATAAATATTTTACAAAGTAATTTTTAATTAATTAATAATATAGTATTTACAAAATATATATATATATATATATATATATATATATAATATAATGGATTTAGATGGAACAAAATTATATATATAATATATTATTTTAAAAAACTTAATATTTTTTTTCTATAAATAGCATCAAAGCCTTATTTAATATATCAATGTTTATCATCTCATTACCAAAAAAAAAAAAACAATGTTTTTACCACCTCTATATATATATATAATGGATTTGGATGGAGTCAAATTATATATATTTTATTTATTTAGAAAAAATTATATTTTTCTACAAATAACAACAAAAGCTTTATTTAACATTAATCAATGTTTATCATCTATATCCATATCTATATTATATATAATATTGAGTCATCACAAGTCATATCACACAAGTGCATATTGATCCTTGATTAATAACTTTAGAATACTATATGAAGTAAGTTTATGACAAAAAAAAATTTTATATATAATTTTGACCTATTGTGCATGCCCTCTCTCGTCTCCCTCTTTCACTCCTCCTGTTGATAATGTTAGCTTTTGGAATTCTCTAGAGTTAACTAGTGAGCTCTTGTCTATACACTTAAAGTAAGATTAGATTTCTAACTTTTTTTTGAATAAGTTAGTTTTATTTTATACTTTGTAATTCTCAATTTCACGACAATATACAATTTTAAACTGTTGAATTTCTATTTGTCTCACTATATTTATGAGATAAAAATATCTAAAAAAAACATAATATGTTTATATTATATAATAAAAATATATTATTTATATTGAATTAGCACAATAAATAAGTTAAATAAAACATCTATAAAAGTACAAAATGTGTCAATTTTGTTAATATATTATAAAAACGAATTTAGATGAAATGAAGTTATATTTTTTTCTTAATTTTTGTTTAAAAAACAATATTTTCTATAAATAGCAATAAAGGATCTATTAAATGAAATTGGTTAGATGGACTTGGTTAAAATATTATTTATCATAAGATCTTTACCGACTACTGACATTTCTCTCTTTCTTTTCACGTGTTAAGTTGAAGATTGATTCATTTTGAGATATAAAAACCACTAAAGAGTGATTTATTTTGCATACATATGATCACAAAATGAAATCGTGCTTATCATACTTGCACAAATAAAGTGTGTTGCATAACCTAGAACAATAGAACATGGATTAAGGCTTAACATTTAAGCATAATTAGACATAAAATTTGTGTTCTAATATAGTTTGAATTATAAAAAGTATTGGGTGCGTTGGATAAGGAAATTAGGAAGAAGAGTAGTGAGGAAGGAAAGGAAAGGAAAGGATTATAAGAGAGTAGATGGATAGATGAAGTAAGGATGAAAGAAGAGGAAGGTGTGCGTGCGTGCGTGGGTTGAGTTAAATAAATAGACGCAGTGGTGTGGGTGTGAGTGGTTTAAGATGGAGTTCCATCGCAGCGACTCGTCATCATCGCCGTGTTCCTCGGCAGCCACAGCCACACCGCAGGCCCAATCAGACCCAATGCACTCGTGGTGGGAGTCAGTGTCGAAAGCACGGTCACGCATCCACGCCCTGGCAGCCCTGCTCCCGTCCTCCTCGTCCTCCTCCCTCGCCTCCCTGGCAGACTCGGACCGCCCCGCCCTCTCCCTCCTCTCCTCCCCCGCAGCCTACGACGCCCTCTCCGCCTCCCTCCAGGGCTCCCACGCCGCCCCCCTCTGCCACTGGCTCTACGACACCTTCCTCTCCAACGACCCCCACCTCCGCCTCGTCGTCCTCTCCTTCGTCCCCCTCCTCGCCGGCCTCTACCTCTCCCGCCTCCACTCCCCCGACCCCCCCTCCCTCGCCGGCTTCGAAGCCCTCCTCCTCGCCCTCTACGCCGCCGAGACCAAATCCCGCAACGGCAAGCCCCTCCTCGTCACCATCCCCGACCTCTCCCACCCCTCCATCTACCACGCCCCTCTCCGCAAACCCCAATCCCAATCCCAATCCCAATCCCCCTCCCTAGGGCTAATCTCCCCCCCTCTGGAACCCCAACTCGGCGTCAAATCCACCAAACGCCCCACCATCGTCGGCGTCGCCCTCCACTCCTTCTTCTCCCAGATCTCCCACATGCCTGCCTGGTCCAAGCTCCACTTCTGCCAATTCGCCGCCGCTTGGGCCGGCGCCAACTGCCCCTGCCGCAACGACCTCGACCTCGACCAAACCCTACCTTTCGATAACGTTAACATTCTCATCCGCGACGATCCTCAACCTCAGAGGATTCCTCTTCCCTGGGAGATTCTCCAGCCCTCGCTCAGAATCCTCGGCCACTGCCTTCTCGGCCCGTTGAACTCGCAGGACGTGAAGGACGCTGCAGCGTTCGCGGTGCGCTGTCTCTACGCGCGCGCCTCCCACGATTTGCTGCCGCAGGCTATACTCGCTACCAGGAGCCTCATTCAGCTTGATGTCAGGGCCAGAGAGGCTGCTAAGGATAACGCTGCTTCCTCCAACGCCAACACGCCTACCAAGGTTAAGAAGCCTGAGATTCTGTTGGTTTCCAAGTGAGGTTGCTGCTGGTGTGTACTATATATGGTCCTGCCTCTTCTGTACCTCTTCATACTGTAAGCTGATTTCGTGCTTGTATAATAGAATCTTCATAGCTGTTCATTTTTGTTTTTGGTTCATTTAGGTTATACAGGTATATTTATTTTTTTATTTTTGAATTTTTTTTTCCTACCGAGTGATTAGGTAGCTGTATTATTCAGTATTGACGGTCTCTTCATTGAATTATGATGTGTGTGTGTGTGTGTTGCGTGCACACTTGTTTGATTATAATCGTGCAGTTTTCCTGTGGTGTGGTGTGGTGTGGTGTGGTGTGTTGGGCTTCTTATGGCTTTGAATTGTTGTTGTACTTTGTGGAGATTGAGGAAATTGAATGGGGTGTTCTGAATGAGTTGTTATTTTGCTGCGGTTGGTTTTACTGGAGGTTTCAGTTCTTCCCTAGATTATGTGGTGTGGTTGAGTCATCAGCCATCAGTTGGTTTGTCTTTTCTGACGATGATAATCTGTTATAGATTAAATGTTATTATTGAATATGAAATATGATGAGAAGTCGCTGTAAGGTCTCCATATTATTGCTTTGCTTATCCATATTGACAACAATGTCAATAGTATTGCTTGCTTTAGAAGACTGTATATGAATCATCGTATGTAATACGATAGTGTACTTGCTGCAGTTGTTGGTTTTTTACGTAGATTATGTTGTGTGGTTGAGTCATCAGCCATCAGTTTGGTTTTGCTTTTCTGACGATGATAATCTGTTATAGATTAAATGTTATTATTGAATATGAAATACGATGAGAAGTCGCTGCAAGGCCTCCATATTATTGCTTTGCTTATCCATAACCACAACAATGTCAATTGTATTTTGCTTGCTTTATAAGACTGTATATGAATCATCGTATGTAATACAATAGTGTACTTGCTGCAGTAGTTGGTTTTTTTACGTAGATGGTCTTCTGCTTTTGAAATATCTTGCATCAAATTTTGAGAATGAAAGTCATCCTACAACCACCAGGTTTTCTAAAGTGTATTTTGGGGTGAAAGGGAAAGATATGGAGGGAATTACTACCTTGGTGGGAGGGGGGTGTGGGAGCATGTGAAGTGTGACATCACTTAACAACCTGATGCAAATGTGATGTGGCAGCAGGGTATGTAGTATGCAAGGGAGCATTTGGTTAGAATGGGGGGATTAAATAAACAATTAAAAATGAGAGAGCAGAGTAGAGATACGGAAGCTTTTGGATTGTTTTGGTTTAGGATAAGTAAGTTTTGAGAGAGTAGGCGATCTCAAGTTTTTCCTGTGCTATCTCTGCTTCCAGGTTGGTTTCTACTTACATAAATACACACGTACCTGTCTCTGATTTCTTAATTCTGCTATCATAAGGATATTTGAGTAGGATTTTATAACAAAGTACAGTACTACCTATGGGTTTTCTGCTCTAATAGGATGTTCCAAAGAACTTTTAGAGTCTCTTTGGTGCTCTGCCATTAGGATATAGTGAAATTTTGATGATGTAAAAAGAATTTACTGTAGTACTCATTAAAAGAAATGGTGGAGAAACTCGTTGAAGAACAATAATCCCTAGGATAATTTTAACTCCATACTGTATGTCGATTGGAGTTCTAGAAGTGTCAAGTTTAAGCAAGTAATCAGTTTAACAACAGTTTTTTGTGCTGGAAGTAGGGACTTCAATATGCTCTACTCTCCTACGGCATTATCGTGTTATCATGGAGTGTTGAACTCTTGTATTCAGTATTGCAGTGTGCCTTCTAAGCCGTAGTACAAAAATAATGTTTTTCATTCTTTTTGTCTATCAGTGAAGGGCATTGTAGAGTTCACTCCTTGTTAGGAGAGGCAGTATCAGCTGTTTGTATGCAAGAATGTTATATGTTAGAAATGGATTGGGCTAAACTTTATCCCAAAAGCTATCTCAAGTGGGTATGATTATGCGAGTCATCTAAGGACTACTTTGGCCATATTCTTGGCTAATGTTAGATCCTAAAATGTCCCCAGACCTTCCTCATTCCAGAACATTTGGAATGTGAAGTTTGCAAGATTGGACATTTATGTTGTCCAAGATAAGGATTGGATAAGCTTTACCATATTAAAAATGAATTGGGCCTCATTCAATTCCAAAAGTTAGCTCAAGGGGGTATAGGATTGCTCATGTTTTATAAACATCATGTTGGCCATATTTCTAATGGACATGGGAGGACTCTTATAGGCATATTTAATGTTTGTGGGTGGCTGGAGATTAAAGGCTATACATGCTAATTTCTAGGAGTGGTCATGGGAAGACATAATTAATTAATCTTGATATTATTTGTAGCTAAATAGTATAATTAAGTTTCTGACTCAGTAGGACCCAAATTCGCCTGAAAACTTACCAGATTTAACTTCTTTGAAAATTCAAACTTGTCAAAATTAACTTCAGGCTTAGCTGGGCTAATGGGACCGGGGATGGAATGGATTAGACCATGAACACATTCTATGCTGTCAAAATCAAAGATGGGAATGAAATGAGAGCATGAATTTTAGACGCAGAAGGTGTTTGTGTGATATCACAATAGGAATTTGTGAAATTCTGAGGTTAGCGGCTTTGAAGTTTGGGATGCATTTTAACTGTAGACCAATGACTGGTTGGATAAAGTACAATCCAAATTCTTTTGGTACTACTGAGTGGGGAGTCATTTATATAGATCGGACGATGTCATTGTATTCTATCAAAAACCTTGTCTCTATAGAGGTCATTTAGATCGAACAAGTTTTCAATGGTTCTATATTTTTTTTCTGGATCTTCCTCTAGCTCTAATTATCAGGCAATCGTTCATCTTCTCCCATGGCCAATCCCTCATAAACATGATTCTACCATCTTTGCCTCAATAAGCATCACTCTTATTTTTCTAATACATTCATTCTGTTTTTTTTTTCCTGCTTATATCATCCTATGCAACATTCTTGTATGATTAATTATCTGAAGCGTGATATTTTGGGGGTTTGAGGCCTTGTGATATTTAAGAAATTATAATAGACATCAGTGTCGACATTGTCGAGGATTATTACAGTCATCTTATGCCAGTTTTCTAGTTACAAAGTGCTGCAAATAATGTCATTAGTATGGCATGTGGACACCCCCTTGAACGTTTGGCTTTCAAGAGCCCAGGCAAAAAAAAAAAAATCTGTTTTTGCTTGCCGTTTTCTACTTTTTGATGATTCTTTATGCATGCGTTATACTTTGTAACTCAGTAAATTGGAGAGATGTATGCGGGGGTGAATGTGGCATAATTTAACGTTACAAACTAACCGTTTTTAGATTTAAATATTAATATTTATGTATATAAATATAACTTACATGAAAAGAAATTTACGCAATCAATCTTCTCTAGTTTATTTCTTCATTATTTTTTTCACACAATCTATCTCATCCATTTTTTACTTATATCTTTTTTTTTTTCTCACACCTTTTTTACTTAATCTTAAATCTTGAACTCTCTTTTATTTGTCTTCATCTAATAGATCAAAACCTATTCATTCTCAAGTTAAATTTGATGCAAAAATTGTCAATCTTTCACTCATCCAAAATTTTTAAAATTGTCCATGAAAAGTTGGGCGTTGTCTATTTGAATACTACTGGGACTAACTTCTTAATATACGTTAATAACAAGCGTAAAAAAAAAAAACGTTGATAACAATGAAGTTTATGGATAATTTGAGTTACATTTTTCAACGTTGATTGCCTTGTTTTAACAAATTATTATAAAAGTCTGAAAGTAATAATATTAAAAAAAAAACAAACTAGTCAATTGGCTAAATTTATATGTAATATTCTATTGTAATTTATCCTATTTTTCTTTCTAACTCTACATTTTCTTTATCATATATTACATGTTATATATTACATGTAATTTATCATTAACTTTACCCCCAAGGTTTCATTTCATATACGAACTCAATTTCACACTTAAACTAATACAGTGATTGTTATTGTACATATTGTAGTTGCATGTCAGGCTTATTGAACAGTACTTTTCAGTGTTAATCTTCCCAAAAGCCAAATGCACAAGTACCGCTGCTTAGCTAGGGTTTTAAATATAGTATTGCATTAAATAATAGCTCCCACTCACTTGCTTACAGAATCTAACATGAAACAAAGCTGATATATAATATGACCTTGGCCATCAGAGAGTCAGGTACAGACTGACTTGACTTCATTCCAAAATCCTCACAAGCAACTAACTCCTGTCTTCCAAGCGCCTACAAACAGCTTGCATTCATTGATGTTCTATTCCCCTTCCCATCTTTCAACAGCTGCAGGTTTTACCCGCAGGGCACTAAAATGTTCTCTATGCTTCAAATCCTTCGATTACCGAGTGGATACTTCACAGACAAGCAAATGCCAGCTATAATTGTGTCTCATCCTCATGAAATCATCTCACAGTTTTGACTAAAATAAATTATTTATGCTTATATGTTTTTTGTTGTGAAATTGTTAGAGATCCCACCTAACTATATGACCACGATAAAATATATAAATGAAAAAATATATATATTTTTTAATTAATTTTATAAAATTGGTATTAAATAATTTTTAATTTGTTGGTAGATGTATAAAACTTGAAGTTTGGTAACCTTATCCTTGATTCGATCTTGCCTTAAATAAGATGCCACACTAGGAGTTACACTAACAGGCAATGGTTAATCTGGGGCTCTGGCGAGTCTTGTTTGTGTTGCATGCATGCAGTTTGCAACCCTGATGTTGGCCAATATATATGCCCACTGGGATATACATTAATTGAGTATTGACATTATGACATATTATAGAGATCTGATTCAGATTACTCTACATATATAGTCACTGGTTTCAGCTATATTATGATTACGGAAAATATCTATATATGCTTGCACAATCCAAAGTTTCCAACTGTACGTAACATAAAATATACCCCTGGTAATATGTCACTCCACGCGCATGCATGAGGAGCTGGATGTGTATAAATTAATAAGTAGCATAGATTCGGTCCATATCAGAGCAGGGGATATGGTGTTAGATATACATATTTCTGGGATGCTTGTACACTTATTCTTTTGCTACTTTTGGGATTTCTTGAGCTTCATAAACAAACCATTGTTCTTCATAAAAGAAAAATAAATCATTACGTTTCTCCCATCATGAAAAAAGAAATGGCAATACACTGGCACTCACATTTGGATCGAGAAATTGTCGGTTGTAGGTTTTATTAATTATAAAACCATATATATAATATAGTTTCACAAGTAAATTGCTTGATGAGTATGAAAATTTATCTATATAACACCTTAATATAAAATTATAATATCTCGGTGTACACCTATGTACAAACTAAGTTTGAACATGAATTTACCCAAAAATT